CATTCAGGAGTCGATACCGAATACTTTGTTTCACTCGGCACGCTCCAACTCCACTCCGGAGTCCCATTTCCAAGAATTCCTAGGGATAGCGGCGGACGCTTAAGTGTGCAAAAATGCGGACGCTCATGTGTGCACTACTGTATATGTTTACACGAACTTTTCTTCTTATTTTAGCGTACCGAATCCATCCCTGAAGTTACGCCCACATGTTTCGTGCCGGCCTGTAGATGTGAACGAGAAGAACGAGAGTAAAGTACGTCAAGTATATTGAAGGGTTCACATTAGGATCGGAGAATGGTCCGTTCACACCGCGAACTTTGTGAAAACGGATTAAGGGTGGGTTCTTTCACGAGCCCATCTCAGGATGTGGTTGACGATCGATCGTGTGATTTGCACCGATGAACAGAAGAAAGCAGTTGGAACAAGTTCAATTGGCTGTCGAGTACTGCGAAAGGTAGTACGTGCGTGTACATGTGTACGTCGACTGGTGTGTTCTTAATGGGAATAAGCTCATTCATCCCATATGAAACGGAAGATCACGTGACCTCCGATCGTCTAGGCCTTTGATGCATGCTCATCACCGGCAATTAGCTGTCAATTCAAGGCCGTGCTTATGTCTCCGAAACTCCGAGTCCTAAGTCTCGAGTGGCAATCGTCCCTTGAGAAGTAAGACACTACTAAAACCGCGATCCCTTATTAAACACACTTGAATCGTTTGTTCATCACTTCTATCCCGTATTGTATAATTCGTTGGATTAGTTTTTTGGTTTTGTTTCATCGGCCTCCTCTTCCTTTTTATTCTTTCCAGTTTGTTCAGGTCTATTTCATTTTTAACCAAGCAGTCAATGCTAGAACATTCAGAATTAATACTAATACCGATAGCGTAGAATTGAAATTAGTACTACTAGTATATCAACTCTATCTGTTACTTTTCTGCACATTTTCAACGGGTAACGCCATAGAACAAAAGGTAATTCGTTCGTTTTTGTTAATGTTTATTTTCGAATAACACCGTGCGAAGTTAAAGACAAAAATATTCTTTCTTGAATTATGAATTTATTTAGAAATGAATCGTTTTAATTGGTTCCTTAGAAAACTAAAGAAACACGTATGACAATCGTTGATCATTTTAACACGAATCGTAATATTTCTACAGAAATGTTCGCTAATATTAAGCTTTATACCTTTGCACAAGCAATGTTCTCTTTCTACTTTTCCTTGTTCGCATAGTGCATTAAATACATGATTCGTGCGTAATACATGCGTAAGGAGACATATTGTATAGTAAGAAAAAACTCTTCTATTTGGAATATTTTCGTCACGTGTTCGGCCACGTAATAAGGAATAGAGATTACAGTGCTGAGTCCTTTTTCAACCTCATCAAAGGCTGGCGAACGAGAGTGTTTTCGAATGTCGCTATCCTACGATCGAATCTTTTCTAAATTTATCGAAATTACTCTTCTTTCATTTTACCGACATTCTACTTGCATATTACGACGTTCTTCTTCAGAACGTTCAAATTAATAAATTTTATTGATTTATAGATCGAGTTTCTTGTTGTCTGATACTGCTGTCGAAAATTTCGAGATAAGTGATCGAACGTGCGGATCACGCAAGTGCTCTCGACAATTGTAACGATAAACAGAAGGTCCTAGTGATACGGAAACTTCAATTTCTATCTAAACAGACATAGGAAAACGAAGATTCGAACGGTGAAATGCATGGTCGATACTGCTGTCGAAAATTTCGAGATAAGTGATCGAACGTGCAGAACACGCAAGTGCTCTCGACAATTGTAACGATAAACAGAAGGTCCTAGTGATACGGAAATTTCAATTTCTATCTAAACAGACATAGGAAAACGAAGATTCGAACGGTGAAATGCATGGTATTATATGTATACAGGGTGTTCCGTAAAGAGTGTAACACACGGAAATGGGGGGTTGCTGGGGTGACTCTGAACAACTTTTTCCTTTACCAAAATGTTGGTTGAAGCTTCGTTTTTGAATTGCGTACGCGTGACTTCTCGGTTACCATCGTTGAGAAATGGTTTTTTGTCGTCATTCCGACGTTTGTATAAATTTTTGAAAAAACTGCAATTAGTCGGAATCGCGAAGAAAATAGCGAAGGTCACGTACGCTTGTTCACGATAGCGCTGATTGGCTCTGAGTGGCCAGTGTTTTTCGTTAATAATTCAAAAACGAAGCTTCAAACAACATTTTGGTCAAGGAAAAAGTTGTTCAGAGTCACTCCAGCAACCCCCCATTTCCGGGTGTTACACTCTTTACGGGACACCCTGTATATATAATGTATTTTGGAAGATTGTGGAAAGGACAGGAAAATCTGTTTGCACAGAGATACACGTTTCAACGGTTTTTACATTCAAAGGATAATTTACGAGAAACTCGGTATCATATTTTCCAGTCCACAATTTCTATATTCTGACTTCATAATAGGCCTATGCAAAAGTTTCCATCGTTTGTAAATCGATGGTACTGAAAGGCACCGTATGTTTCTTTCCTTATTTAAATTTTCACAGGTGGTATATATACTGAATATAGTATCAAGAAGTACACAATATCAATATTGTATTATTAGTATTCTTGCGACAACTAATTATAAATACGACGAGAAATAAATACACCTTCTTGAAAAAAATACGACGGGAACTTTTGCACGGACCTAATAGAATTGTCAACGTTGCGTTGTAGTTTCAGTTGAAAGAATTGTATCGAATCAACGGTGATTTGTAGGCGCGGGAAAACGCGTTAATTTAAATGCATAAATTTCCGATAAATTATTTTAACTTAGAAGCTGTTGCATTTTAAGTAAGGGTGCCGTTACTTTTTCTGTACATTTCATCAATGTTAGTTTACTACGTTCGTACAAAAACGAATTATGTAATTACAAGATTGTAAATGTTGATTTTTGAAACGTTCGTACGAAGTGGGGCAATGTAAAAACTCTTAAAAGGTTTCATGTAGTAAACAGGTGTGGCGAAAGGTTGACTATAATTTTACGAAGATCTTTTTGCCGATAAGAAAGATAACTCGATGGATAGCAAAGTTCACCACGATAATTCGATAGGACCGTGATTAAATCGATTATGTGTATCGATGCTATTAGAATACATCGAAAATCCTTGGAACGATATTCTGTGTTATTTAGAGATAACATTTAGAGACGTATGAAAACATTTGAAACACCTACATTCTCATGGATTAAAACGATTTAGCTTTTGCACACTTTTCAAGAATATTTAATTATTAATTCTACATATTTCGTATATGTAAATTCTATATTTTAGAGCAATAATTTCTTTACTCTATAAGATATGTACAGTTTTGTTCTATAACTTTTCGCCGTTTCCCGGCAATTTGAAAATTCCATTTTGTCAAAGTTTTTTTCAAAATTTTTATTTAAGATCAAAATTTTCATCTCTAAATTTTGCAAATCATTTGTTATCAATTTTTTCCGATAGACTACCTTCTCCGTAAACATTAGATACTTCGTTTGTTGTTTCAGTGGTACTTTAACATTAAGAGTTGGAAATCTATTCCAGTTTGTTCCATCTTCAAGGTACTGTAACTCCAAGAAGATACTAGCAATTGTAAAGTGAAAAAATTACGTTTCAGAATATATGCGAACTTCGTACGTTTTCATTCAGTTTTATCTGTTCTAACGTATTCAAGCAAAAGTCTGCACGAACTTTTCGCCCGACCGAGTATATTCTCCGAGGAGAAGCTTTCACGTATTTCTCTCGCTTTACCGCACTCTGCGCGTTAGTACACAGAAGGAACACGCGAGTATGGAATAGAGTAGAGAAGCAACGAAGAAAGTTCGAACATATTCTAAGAAAGCATACGGAACAGAGAGCATAAAGGACAATCTGAGTGAAAGTTGAACGTGTGGTCAGTTGGGCAGCAGAAAGAAAAGCTAATGGAATAATGCTCGTAAGATGAGATTTTTACAAGAAGTGCGTCAGAATTGACGTAGCGAGCTAATAAACGGCCCAACTGCATTGAACGTGTCTCTGCAATGCAGACTACATTTCACGATTAACCGCGCGCGTCCACTTTAATTCATATACATAGCAACACTTGCCTCTGCTACGTGCTTTATTAAAATCACAGACAACGTGTGTCGTATGGAAGAGCGATCTGATTAGAACGTACTGTGCATCGAACTTTGATATTTCTTTCGCCAAAACACTGACAATTCACTGAAATCTTCAGTTCGATCGACTACATATCAAATTACAGGTACAACAATCGCGCTAGATCAAGATCGATAATCGACCGGTACAAGGCCGTTCAAATATGGAACGGAGGAAAAGAGAGAGAAGGATACGCATCTGGTGAATTTTTTGGAAATTTCGCGTAATATGGCGAAATAGAAGATAGTTTTGTTATAAATCATCTCTCGTTAGTTGATGCAATTTGTGTAATGTACGACGCTAATCGACCAGTTAAAGTGATTACTTGAATTAGCGGATCGGGAAGCCCCGATCGACGAATCGCGTTGCAGTCGCTAGTTCCTCTCGATGAACCATCATTCGGCTGCACTAATCCACGAGCAGGCGATACGAATGTCAATTTAATGCCGGAAATATCAGATGGTTTCGATTTGCAAGAAAGTCGGTTTTGTCGATTCAATTTGACAATTTCGGTAGAAAATTGTCTAGTTCAACGTTGAACGCAGAGAAAGAGGGGAGAAGGTGAAGGGAGAAAGGACAAATCGTTTGGTCCTTCTTACTTGCGACGATTGAGAAGGAGGAAAGGCGCGAGGGTGTTGGTGTTGGTGAAATGACAAAGCAGAATCACCGGGCCGGCGAGCGGGTTTACGATAATCCGTTCGACACTTGACCGGTCGGTTGTGTGAATTCACGCACACGCCTGCACCGTTACAAGTACCCCCGATGATCTTATAAAAGCGGCGATTAGCCCGGGGACCAGTGACTCGCTACTAGCTCCAGCTACGTGAAACGTGTCAATCGTTATTCAGCATTCGTTATTCTTCGTGTGAAACGCCGGTTGAAAAATGGTCCAAATCGTCGGTAAATACCAACACGTCTCGAACGAGAACTTCGAAGAGTTCATGAAAGCTCTTGGCCACCCGGAGCTGGTCATCCCGTTCCTGCAATCGAAGGCCGTCGTCGAGGTCCAGAGGAACGCCGACCAATGGACCATCACAGTCACCTCTGACGGAAAGAGCAGCGCAGCTACCTTCAAGGTGAACGAACCCTACGAGGAGAAGCTGCCCTCTTCCGACCGGAAATTCCAGGTTTGTTTGCAATTTCTTTCGGTAAACGGTGTGAAACAAAGTTATGCATTTCGAATCTAAGCCAGTTTTTCATATTACTTTCAACGTTGGAATTAACACGCTTTGATTATATCTCGAATATCACACAGCGTAGCCAACAGTCATATTCCGATGAACGTTTAATTATTTTTCAACGTGTGTACGATAGTGAACAAACGATAAGTGATGTCGATAACGTAATTTAGAGTCTGGTTTCTTAGCTGAGATAATTCTGTTTTATCGATTAGTACTTGTAACATTTGAAATTTAGAATGTTCAATAACATATGAAACTTTCTTATTATTGATGATTGTTTTTAAACAATTCATTGAAATTTAAACTAGGTTGGGAATCTAATGATATTAACCGATATAATTTCAATTCTTGTTAACCTCAAGTCTGTGTTACCCTTCGTGTCTAGCACAACATTGAAATGCACATTTTACCGTTCGCAGAGCGTGACAACACAGGAAGGCAACAATTTCATAACGGAAACACAACTAGGCGATACCCTTAAAGTCGTCCGATTGTACGAATTCACGGACACTGAGATGAAAGTGGTAAGTACCTTTTTAATACACTCTATTGCTTTAACACGAAAAAGTTTGAAATTAAATTTTATCGTACAACCGTATGTGCAAAAAATGACATTTTCCTTTGCATATATGGGTACAAGTTGGTATTCAACAATGCAAAGATTACTTACGAATTTGTCGAACTAAAAGTCGTAATTGGTATTTATGTTAGAGTTTCTCAATAACGTTCTCACCATCGAACTGATTTTCGATGACTTTTCGTTCGAGTCACAAGGCTCGAGCTCCACCACCATGAGAATAATACATTCCGTAGTTTTATACAACCGCGAAATTTATTTATTCAAATGCACCAAGGAAAAAACGAAACTTTGTTTTCTAAAGAAAGGGAACGTATTCTTACATATGATCCTGTAAACGTGCAGCGTTTAGAATTTACGTTAAAAAAACATTAGCGTTTAAATACAGACGATTGTTGTTAAACTGTATTCTAATTATTCCTGTTTCATTTTCAGTACCTGTCCATGAACAAGACCGACATCAAGGCAACGCGTACATATAAGAGGCTCTAAAATAACAGAATATTTAGAACAAATAATATCACCTTTCCAAGTTAATTGAAAATAAAAGCTCTTTGATGATTTGATCCTGATTAAACAATCTTTCTATTTCTTCCTAAAAACCGGCCAGGTTTCTGGAACCTTCGAGTGATAGTTGGGTGCAACAAATTGAAACATAACTTTTACGTAATATTTATTTAAGAACTCATAGTAACGCGCAACAAATGCATACGAATAGTTTGCTTTCTTTTTTTTTTTTTTCCTTCAAATTTAAGACCTGAAATTTCTTATGACATTTACTTAAACAAGCTTCAGTGTTTCATGTAAAACAATACACATATTTCTTGCGCTATAAATTACTAAGTATAAAGAACAACGAATTCTTCTTATGTGTATTTGTGTATAAAAAGCCTAAGTACTTTAGTGTATCAAAAGAAGGAAAAACGAGGAATAAATGACAAACAGAGAAAGAAAGAAAAAAAGCGGGTTCTCTTATACGGTAAGATTTTTGGCAGTTAAAAATTCCGTGATTCCGTTCTAAATCGTGAAAAATTTTCTTTACTCCTTTATTCGTATCGTTCAGTGGTAATAAAGATCGAATGGATACCTCTTGTCGAGTGCGTAATTAGTCGCTTCTTTAAAACCGTTAACGAAATGGTCCTATCAAGGTAAACAATTCTTCCTATATCATAGTCATTCGTCCTCCCTCCACCTTAAATTCTTCTTTTCGTCGTTGCTCGCATTTGATATTCTACATAGTATGTAGTAGTTCATTTCCGCTCTCTAGCAATTCTCGCCTGTTATGCATATAAATTGTTGCTTCGTGTCGTAATTATTCGAATTTATTTAATATAATATGTATCACATTAACTCATAAAAGTGCTGTACATAGATGAATAGAGAATACATAAGAATGGTATTAATGAATGACGACGAGTTCATAATATTCTCTCGCAGTATACTCAACTTCGGAATAGGAACAAACAAAAAAAATAAATATATGGTACCTGTCGTTTGCGGTTTGCATGTATGTCAGTGTGTTTGTAGTGTACGTAGTATATACAGGGTGTTTCCTTTAACTCGCAATGTTCGAGTATCTCGAGACTGAAGCTATAAAAAGTTTTTACGAAAGTTGTTTGGTATGAAATAGCCGTCAACCAGCGATTCAGGCTTACTTGACTCCTTAGAAACTCGCAAATTTATAACATTATTTATAGTATTTTACAACGATAAATGACCTCATATGGCAGGTCGTTGAATTCGTTTCAACAAATGCCATCATACTTCGAAAAAAGAATATATGGTTCCATTTAAACAAATGAATTTGATTGAAATATCCATATATTCAACCTGCAAAAATATAATTTGCACCATATCGTGCCCCCTTTCGTACCAAACAATTTTTGCAAAAATATCATTTTGATAGGTTCAGTCTCTCACGAGATACTTCAACACTGCGAGTTAAAAGAAATACCCCGTATGTCTCCCTTTTCGTACACACGCGCATGCGGCGCGCGCGCGTACGTCTCGTGTATACGCGTGTATTTATGTGTAATATAAGTTCTTCTCTTCCACAAAAAGTACGACGATTAATCATTATCAAGTTTAATGCACATATAAAATTAAAAAGTATAAAAAGACCGCCCAGCTTCGACTTTTACGTTAATATGTTAAGAAACCGATTCGCACGGTCAAGTTGTGACGTGTGACGTTTCCTCTGGATCTCGAATTTTCTTTCTTGGCGACTTGGTTGGACCTGTGCCGCGCGTGTGTGTTTACAGGCCAGTTACAGCACCACGTGTGGACATTCCCTTTCGGTTAATATCTCAGAGACCGCATGGAAACGCGTCCAATTTATGTACAAAAACAATGAATATTCTTTTTCGCTTTCTATCACTCTCTCACTCTCTCTTCCTCTCCCACTTCCATCTTTCTTTGTTACATATCCTTTGCTTTCAGCGAGACACCACTTTGCCAGCACGACCGAAGCAGTAAAAAGCAGTAGGGTATATTATTTTTTCTTTTTCTTTTTTTTTTAGGGTATAACTCATTCGCGCGCGCGCACACAACCACGCACGCACTCTCTCCCTCTCTTTTTCGTCTTTTTTCACACTCGCTCTACTCCACTTTCTCCCTTTTCGCCAATACAGACAAACAGACTCATAACTTCATCGTCGGTACATATACACATTAATATATTATATTTTATATACTTTACGCTAATTATAATAAAAACTCCTTCTGGTTCGTTATACATTCCCTAAGAAACTACTTTTTAGCGGATGTTCTTATGCGCTTCTCTTTCTGTCTCTCTCTCTCCCACCCTCTCTCTCACACACTCACTCACTCACTCACTCACTCACTCATTCATTCGCTCGCTCACTCATCCACTCACTCATTCTCACACTCTCTCTCTCTATTTCTCCCCGGTGAAGAAAGGACAACAACGTTTATCGGTGCGTAATGTGTACGATCGACATAAAGCTAAGATGAAACTCGGTTGCGTTCGTTGCCAATTTAATCGGAGCTCATGATCAGCTGGTTGTCGTTCGGGGCAACCACAGGCGAAAGGTCTTTCTTCGGCACGTCGTCAAATATCGCGTTTATTTCGACTTTGTCGGACACGCCGTTTTGCATAATCTTCCCTTTCTCGGTTATCGTTTTACCAGCTGTTGAGATCTTGCTGGAAACCTTCGATACCGCTGTGGTCTTTTTGGTCGGTGATGCTGTCGTGCTGGTCTTTGTCGTTAAGGACACGCGTTTCGTAGTGGTCGTAGCGGAACTACTGGTAAACAAACGGCTGGATGTCTTGGAAGCACCGGTACTCGTTCGCGCCATAGAGATTTGCTTGTTAGCTGTCTCTTTCACTTGTTTATCGATCATCGGAGATTTGGTGGTGGTCGGCGTACGAGGCTTTGTTGTCGCGTTTCCAACGGTTGGAGTTACCTTAGCTTTCACGGTAGTCGTGCTCGTAGCGGTGATGCTGGTGGTACTGGGGTTGCTAGTGCTCGATTTAGCGGTCGTGCTGGATTTGGTAGCTGTACTGCTAGAGGTGGGTTTCAGTTTCGTCGTTGCAGTTGATCCAGTGGTCGGTCGCGGGTTTGATGTCTTGACTAGCGCGCTTTTGCTCGTCGATGGTGCCTTGCTTGCTGGTTTAGTCGCAGTTGCTTTATTCAAAGACTTCACATCACCGTTCGCGGTTGGTTTTTTCTCGATGGCAGTCGGTTTCGACGATACTGCTGCTGCTGCGGTGGGTTTCGGTTTAGAGACGGCACCGCTGCTTGTCCTAGTCGTTGTTTTCGTTGTGCCAGTTGAAGTGGTTGTCTTCGAACCGGATTTGGGAACGGAAGTCGATGTTTTGTTGCTGCTCGCCGAGCTCAAAGCTGTTGATTTCTTTGGAGCGTCTAGATCCTTTGGGCGAGCTGGCGCGGTGGTCGACGGTTTCTTTGCTGTCGCGGTGGACGTTCGTGTTGTGGAAATTGCACTTTTCGAAGGGGACGTTTGCGTTGATTTTGGTGGAGCCTTCTGACCAGTGGTCTTTGTTGTTGCTTTCGCACCGGTCGTCTTTACCTTTGATTTGCTTTGTGCTACAGTTCCACCTGTCGCGACTGCTGCGACCAATGCTGCTGTTGCTACTCCGGCGATTTTGTTCTCAGAAGCTCCGACAACACTATCTTCGACTTTTATGTCCTTCACTTCTGGTTCTTCCTTCATTTCTGGGTATTTTGTTTCTAATTCTACTATTGTTTCTGCTTCCTTCGTTTCTAATTCTTTCATTATTTCTGGCTCTTTCACTTCTGATTCTTTCACCATTTCTCCTTCCTTCGTTTCTAATTCTTTCATTATTTCTGGTTCTTTTACTTCTAATTCTTTTACCATTTCTGCTTCTTTCACTTCTAATTCTTCCACCATTTCTGCTTCTTTCACTATTTCTGGTTCTTTTACTTCTAATTCTTTCATCATTTCTGGTTCTTTTACTTCTAATTCCTTTACCATTTCTGGTTCTTCTACTTCTAATTCTTTTACCATTTTTGCTTCTGTCTCTTCTAATTCTTTCACCATTTCTGATTCCTTTGCTTCCAATTCTTTCATAATTTCTGATTCATTCGTTTCTACTTCTTTCACCATTTCTAGTTCTTTTATTTCTAATTCTTTCATTATTTCTGGTTCTTCTACTTCTGATTCCTTTACCATTTCTGGTTCTTTTACTTCTAATTCTTTTACCATTTCTGCTTCTGTCTCTTTTAATTCTTTCACCATTTCTGATTCCATTGCTTCCAATTCTTTCATAATTTCTGATTCATTCGTTTCTAATTCTTTCACCATTTCTGGTTCTTTTACTTCTAATTCTTTCATCATTTCTGGTTCTTTTACTTCTAATTCCTTTACCATTTCTGGTTCTTTTACTTCTAATTCTTTTACCATTTCTGCTTCTGTCTCTTCTAATTCTTTCACCATTTCTGATTCCATCGTTTCCAATTCTTTCATAATTTCTGATTCATTCGTTTCTAATTCTTTTTCTTTTAATTTTTGGATTTCTAGTTCTTGCATTTCTGCTTCTATTATTTCCGCTTCCAGTATACATTCTGTGACTTCTTCCTTCTCTTCTATATCACAAAGATCATTCTCAACTTCAAGTTTTAAGAGTTCCTCCAATTCTGCCGCATCGTATTTCGGTTCTTCTTTCTTTACTTCCTCGTGAATTTCTTCAACAACGCTAGGTTCTGCAGTAGTAGTAGTAGTAGTCTCTTCTGTTTCGGGCTGTAATTGGTTTTCCAAACCTGTAAATTCTTGCATGGATTCAGATAACTTCAAAGTAGGTTCCTCTTTCGCTAAATCCATTAGCTCAACTTTTGTTAGCACTACTAGGGGCTCCATTTCTCCCACCAACAAGTTCTCTGTTTTATTCTCGATAATGGTTGTCTGTTCTGGAACCTCTTTCGATTCGATTATCTCTTCCGGTTTCTGTTCGTCGGTGTCGACGACGGGTTTCTTGATGGGGCAAACAAGATCGTCGAAGCTGTGTGGAATCTTTTCTTCTTCCAATTGCTGAGGAGAAAGAGGCGGTTGTGAAAATTCACTTTGAATATGAGTTGGTTTCGTGGAAATCTCTGCTTCTTCCTCAAAATCCAGTAAGTTCTCCTGTACCGGTGGCTTCGTGCATACTGCCTCGTCTATCTCTTTTCCATCTGCAGGCTGCATGTCTGCAGGCTGAATTGACTCGAACGTATCGTCGTCAGTTTTCACAGAGTATGACTGATAAGTGTTGGTCGTTTCTGTGGGTGATGTTCGGCCAAGATCGGCAGCTTCCGCAGGAGTCGATTGACCAATCTCGCTACTAGTTTCCGCGTCAAGAGATTGGAGATTAAATTGTCGAGGCATGAACTCGGGAGCCTCCGGATGCAACGATGATAGAACTTCTGAGTTCTTCGTAGGATCGACCGATTCGTTTTCTACCGAGCCAGAGACCGGTGACAAGGACGAGGAGGTATCGGCTTCACTTGGACAAGTTTCTTTTTGTAGATCGTTTTCGGGAAGGATAGCGTCCTCGCTAGTCTCGTCTATGGGCTTGGTCTCATCTATGTCTACGCTGGAAGGTGACAGAGGTTGTTCGTTGTCAACGGAGATGAGTTCCTTCTCGGATTCTAATTCAGCGGAGTAATTCTCGGTCAAAGGAGAGTGGTCGTATCTCGCGGTTTCTAATTGCTCGATCTGGGAAGGCTCTGGTTGCAATTGCAGTAAGTCGTCGACTTCTGTGCTGGTCTTCGATTTATCCGCGTGTTCGATGAAAGTGGTTTCTTCATTATTCTCTTGCTCTAAGGACAGGTTCACCAGTTCAGTGGGTTCTTCTGGAAGTGCTGGCTTTTCCTCTGTTGGTTCTTCAGCTTCAGGAACAACCATCAGATCGGTAGTCTCGAGTTGCAGCTCCAGAGAAGATTGTTCTGCGATTTTGTCTTCATCCTCGATGTTGCCATTTTTCTCTTCTAAATCGGTGCTGCTCAGATTGTGAACGGCGTTCAGATCGACGCCTTTATCGAACGCAGCCTCGAAGTCGCTGGGCGTGAAGGACATGGCCATCGGGTCCTTGGCGATGTCGTAATCACGTTCAGAACTGGAGAATGATTCGTCCACCGTGGAAATACCGGTTCTGTGAAACTCGCTGGTTGTTAAGAAGCTGGCTGCTGATTCGTCGCCGAATTCCGCTTTCGTTGACGAAATTTCGGAATCGTCCAAATTCCCGGTAACACTAACTGATTTTTGTTGGTCGGATAGAAAGTCGGTGTAATCGGTGGACTGTAAACGGTCGCCATTTTGGTATTCTTTTTCCTCGACTTCGACGTCGACATCGACTTCTCTAGGTCGTTGGCATACTTCTTTCTCGAACTCGCTCTGACTGGGCACCTGAATGTCGTCCATCTGCGGCACCTGTTTGAACGGTGAACCAGAAACGGGATAATCCTCGACGAGATTCACTCTTGTTCCTCCCAAGAACTGTGGTGAGACTGGTACAAACTCAGCCGCGTTAGGATTCAGTTGAAAATCCATATCCTTCGGTTTCTCCTGCTCCTCTTCACGAGCTTTTTCCTCCCCTTCCGTTTTTACTGCTTTGTCCTCGGCGCTAATCTGTGCGTTTGTGAAAAAATTTACTTTTCGTTAAAACATTCGTGAATTGAGAAATGAAGTTCAATTATACAGATGAATTCAGTGAAACGTAAGTAGACGAATTTTTATATTATAGGAAGGTATTTTGATTCCCTATGTCTGTGACTCAATTTTTATCTATCAGAAATAAAATAATTTTTTGTATTTTCCAACGAAATATTTTAAATAAGAACAGCTTTCTAATGCATCAATTTATTCAGAGAACAATTTGTATTGTATAATTCAAGGACTTATCCCCTGCCCATGACACGCAAACTCAACAAATTATACATATATTAACTAGTAAGAGACACTTAATTTGTCCTAATTTGTTACCCAGAGTTCTTGGTTTCTTTATTAAGTTTATACTAAATAAATTATTCGTTTCTAAATACACAGTGTTCTAAACAACTGGGCCAAGCCATAGCTTTGAAACAGTAGAAGCAAGAAAAAAAAACTTCTTAAGATAAACTTAAATGGTTTCGAATAGTGCATCGTGTGGTAAACCTGTCTGTCCCAGAAGTGGATCATTTTCAAAGACTTATACATCAATTAATGCGCTTTTTATTCTCTATAAAAAAGTATTACGGTACTTGTGTCGCAGAATGATTAATTTAGACGGTATTTTGACTACAACTTATTTGAACCTTCTTGACTTGTGTAGGTGCGTATATACCTGAACGTTTTTTCTGTACATATTTGTACGTATACATTAACAACTTTGTAATCAAAATACAGCGACTCACACATTCGTTCACATGTTCTTAACATATTCCTTTATACGAAATCAGGGTTTTCCTCTTAGGAGTATGAAACTTGAATAGATGTAAGTAATGAAGGTTATAAGTGAATTGATATTGTTATTTTTTAAGAAAGACTTAAATTTATTTAGACAACAGAGTATATAATTGGTACATTAATATGAACAATTATGTGACTGTAGTCATTTATTAATTAATATTTAGTGTATCTATCTCTTGCTTTCAAAAGTGCTTCTATTCGTCTGAACATGCTACATACTGAAGTTCTGCAATATTCTATAGCAATATCTGCCCATTTTCTTCGGACATTTTATAATAAATCGTCTGAATTTTTGTTATAAGCATGTTGCTTTTCTAACCATAATTTCGTTCCTTTCGCGGTATGTTTAGAGTCATTATTCTGTTGGAAAATGACATCATTCATTTCTTTCCCTCAGTTTTCTATACTGTTTCTTTAATCCTTAATCGTCATCCTTCCCTCTATTTTATGGATGATTCCAACACCATCAGCTGCCATCATCCCCAGATCATTATGCTTCTTCCTTCAAATTTGAGAGTAGGATTAATATGACTTTTTCGTAGTTTTTCTTTTGGTACTTTCCAAACTTACTTCTTACCATCCGAACCAAATCTACTGATTTTTGTTTCATCGGACCAGTAATATTTGTCCAAAATTTTCAATGCAGATTTTATATTTTTTTGCAAATTTCAATCACATTTTCATCTGCCTTGCCGTAAACAGTGGCTTCCTGATTTTACGCCGTCCTTTCATTCCAACTTTCTGTAAAACTCGTCGAACCGTATCTGAGCTAATATTTCGATTATCAAAAGCTCTTAATGTTTTTTGAACTTCCACAGCATTTTGGGCTTCCCCGGATCGAATACTTCTTATAATTTTTTGTTTTGTCATTTCTGATACTTTGTCTTTCGATCATGGACGGTTTCTTGGACTATTTAAAGCACACATTTCTTTTTTTTATTTTTGCTATTAGTCCGATTGGACAACATTTTACAGATATTAGATATTATCTAATCCTTCTTTAGGGTACTGTATGATTTCTTTCTTCAGGTCTTCCGAAATTGTCATCTCTATATTTTATAAAGTAAATAATAAAATGTATTGGTTTTTACACTCCAAGTTCTATGAAACAAAAACTAACACGAGAATTCTTAGAATTTAGAATTACGTAAACAAGTATGCGAGTCACTGTATGTTTTCAACTAATCAATTTTCGACACAGGTATCTTGATACTGTTTTATAGAGAATAAAAAAAACGGGTGACCTTGAAATCATTGAAACACCTTCACTGCCGGGCAAATACATGCATCACGTGATGCACCATTCGAAACTATTTAATTTACTATAATAAAACTCTGTTCTACCTTCTATTATTCTAAAGCTATGGATTGGTCCACATTTGCGTAGAATATACCCTGTATACAGCATGTACAGTCCATCGCAGAAAAACGCACTCACAATAACAGCACACATGACATGTACTATTACACATTTCTTTAGTAACAGATTTAATCATTTTTATATGGTATTTGTAAATATTATTCTACGATGATTTAGCATATTTGCAGCTAATTTTCAAGTCTTCGTGTTTTACGAATATAAAGCATTAATGGTTTCATTATAGAAATACATTTTCCTCATAGGTTTTACATCATTATTGATCACAAAGAATCCAGCATAAATAGTTTTCAAATTATTCTAATCATAATCGTCGCTTTTACGAACCGGTATGAATCGATTTTCGACGTGTTATTCTGAACAGCAATTTCGCTTTTCTATTACGACATTCGCTGCCTTCTTTCAAACGATGCTTCCCTTGCAACGACGCATAAATATACATTGTTTTATGGAAGACAAGAGTGTCTTTCATGCGCGGAAACTTTATTTACTTTATTAGTTACTTTATTTCCGCTAGTTGTAATGGTTCACTTTAAACCACAATTTGGAAGATCGTCCTCAGATCTTACGTAGTTAGTCGCGTTTGCAAAGATCATGTTCGGCCCTTTCACCTCAAATCGATTCAACTTCACAAACCATCCGAAGAATCCTAAACAAACGATATACATATTAAAAAAGGACCTGTACTTTTATATTATCACGCTTTTCCGTTTTTTGTGCCGTTATTTTTGCAAGTATCGCGGATATGCTGTTGTGCTGCGATACACTGTACATACAGAAGAAGGGAAATGCCTCTGTCAGTAGGTCAAAAATATGAATATTTCTCGGAGAGATGAGAATAAACGGAAAAAAAAGGGAAAACGATATTACCTCTGTGTTAATAAGCTCAGGCGTCTCTGTTTTTGGACTTTCGCATTTAATATCTTCTTCTGTGTCCTGAGACTGGATTTTCAACATGCGATCGGTGGTATCGACGGGAAGCTCTGGAATAATCTCGGTCTCTTCCTCCTCGTTTTTCGATTCCTGGGGTATGTCGATAGGGACCGTAGAGCCCTTCTCTTTATTAGGATCGACACGATAGTAGTTCCACTCGTCTTCGGAGTCCTCGCTGTCCGCTACATTATCCGCTTCATGAATCAGTGCATGCTGAAGAGGTTCTGCAAATAATCGATAATAGATGTAAATGTAAACTAAAGCGAGTTTCTCGTAGAAAAGATAATATTCTTGACGATATACTCGCCGTATGCAAGCATATATATGTGTTAAAAAAATGAGGAAATACACGATAATCGAAGTGAAACGAACTAAAAGATCGAAAAGCAAAAGCCATTGCTGGAAATTTCTTAATCTCGTTCTTAATAAACGAAACTTTCAAATGTAGCCTAACGTGTTACAAATGGTAAACATGTGCTTAATTTATAGAACGTATAATGTATTTTACAGGAAACACCAGTCGATTAATCAAATGCGTCCAAATAACTATTTTTCTGATCGAGCGAGCAATTCCGAGCGGTTTTCCCCAGTTCTTTCATATTTACTTTTCATTCCTTTAATCTATAAAGCAGTACACAGAAATATAAAAAATAAATACATCGCAGGTGTATTTTTCAAGTAAATCAATTCTGAATATATCGAAATTAACTGTATTAAATTATAGAAAGCTTATCAAGTATATAAGCAGTTGTCCAGCAAAACATTTACTACCACCTCTTTCGAAATTTTGTTTATGGCTGTGCCCCTCTCTGTTCATCCACAAATATTCAGTTCACTTCGCAAGAAAACGAACAATTTTAGAACTGGTTTAAGACAACTTTATTAAGAGTTCTATTAAACTCTTTAACTTTTTCACAAGTAATGCAACTTCTTTTTTTTTTTTGCGACAGTGGTTAAAAACGCTAATAAAAAAGGAAACTAGCATTTAATTATCTACAATTTATCCAATTTATATTTTACAAAATTGCTTCTTTACTTTATAAAAGTATTTAATATTTGCACATCAAAACCTGAATTTTCTTTACTTATTTTGCACAGCTCGCGGCAGAATAACAGTAAAACATTACATTTTACAATAAGTAAGCATAAGACAAACTTGTCTATTATTTATTACTTAAAAAAAAAAGAAAAAATAGATTTTCATAGGTGAACTGGAATTTCAACATAATTACTACGACAAAATAATAGCATACTAGTATGGAATGTTACATAAAAATGGAAAATTAATAGGAATGTTTAAATCATATACATTTTTAAATAATTTCTTGATTCTCTTTTATTTTCCAGAATTTTCATCAGCTTTTTTCGAGTAAATGTATACATGATATGTATTTTTTGTTGCTGTAGTGTGTTCCAGTTTAATATCGTTAAATCCTGGCCATTTTAATACTGTTAAATTTTTCGTCTTGAGGTATTGTTCCACGCACTTTGGCTGTAT